GCACCAATCGGACGGCGAAAGAGTTCTCCCCCCTCCAAATAGCCCCCGCCAGCCAATGAACTGCAGACAAGGAGGGCGTGCTTCTTGGCCCGCCTCCAACGGCAGAGGCCAATCAGAGCGAAGACGGGCAGCGGAGCCCTGACCCCGCCCATGAGGCAACTCCACCCAATCGCCACTTCCTTCCAGATGGCCAATGAAAACCCGAGCCTCCGATCCCGGCCCTTCTGCGCTCACCCGGTCCGGGGATCCATGTCCCCTAAATCGTGCGTCTGCCCCGAGGAGCGCGAACCCCGCCTGCGGTCACAGCTCTAGTTACGCCCCGAGCGAGGCCCTTTTTCTTCTCTCTCTGCCTTTATTTCCCGCCTGCCTGAGCTACAGGTGCGCGGCGGGAGCCTCTTTCTCCCTCTCTACCCTCTTCTCTTCATTGCAAAGCCCAGATAGGGGAGTAGCACAGGGCAGGCTTATATTTCTCTGGATTTTATTCCTGGCTACTACGCAGAAGCTGAAGCTCAGGGAGGGCGGCACGGAGCCGGCTCTGTTCCTGGTACTTATCGCCAGGCTCCAGGCCCAGCTCCAGCCCCACGCGGGGAGCGCGGAACGGCTTGGGTTCCTCCCCGGGTCTGCAGGCGGCAATGCCCGGCGCGGCCACAGGAGGGCGCCTCTGAGCAGGGATTTTTCTCCGCCCTCAACGTGCTGCGTCCAGGCCCGGATGGGACCACGGGAGGGCCTGAAGGCCCCGCGCCGTGGGGAACGCCGTCGCCCGCACGACCCGCCGCGGTTTCCAGAACAGCCCGTCGCAGCGCTGCCGGACCAGTCGGGTGTCCGGGCCTGCTGTGGACACGGCAGCGGACAGCCAAGCAGCTGAGCAGGGCCGCTGAGGATCGGAGTCGGACCAATCGGCACGTAGAAACTTGCACACCACCCACAGTTCCCGGGCCCCCACGTGCCCCGGGAACCAAAAAGAAGTGGGAACCGGGGGGGGGGGTAGGGTCTCTGGGCCCGCCCCCTCCTGCAAAAACCAATCAGAGTGAAGAAGGGCGGAGCGGCCGTGAACCCGCCCATTCGGCCACTCCACCCAATCGCGTCACTCCGAAAGATGGCCAATGAAAACCCGAACCTCCGATCCCGGCCCTGCCGCGCTCCCGGCCCACAATCAATGCCCCGTAAATCGTGTGTCCGCCCCGGCCGCGGTCACTGCTCTATTTACTCCCGAAGCGAGCGAGGCCTTTTTTCTTCTTCTCTATCTGGCTTTATCTGCGTGCTGCAAGATCCAAGCCCACCGGCAGCGAGCCTCTGTCTCCGCCCTTGTCGCCCGACTGCAAGGCCCGCTGTGCAGCACGGGACGGCAGCACCAGGCCTGTTTTTATTTCTCCGGCTGATTTTCCTGGCTGCCGTGCCCAGTGCGAAGCTCCGGACCGCGGCACTGGGCCCGTTTTGTGACGTGCCAGGGTCCCCGGGCCGCGAAGCCCCGGTAGAAACACGCGTCGGCGGCTCAGACCCTTTCCCTTCTTCTCCGCCCTTGTGTCCTGGCTGCAATGCGCAGGGCGAGCCACATGAGGGCAGCACTGAGGGGATTCTTGTAATACTCTAGGGATGGATGCCTGACACGCCCCTTATGTATCTAGTACCTGTCCATATTCATATATACTCAGATGAAACCGTCGTGGTATTTGAATACCTAAAGCGATTTCCCTTATGTCAGAAAGAGAGAGAGACAAGGCAGTAGGATCTCTATGTATCTTATGGCACGGATTCTGCACACACATTATATGCACATCTGTGTACACACACATAATTATTAGACGCATCTCTGTACAGTTTCAAGGTCATCAAAGTAACTACACAATGAAGACCACTGCCCCTTCCATCCCTCCTTCTCCATATTTTATTATTTTACACCAAGAGCACCAGACTCCGCACTAGAACTGAAGTGAAGTCTTGCAGTGAACAACCACGGGCTTTTCTTCCCTTTTCTCTTAAAAAAAATGGGAAAGTCCGTGCAAATATAGCTAGCAACGACATACCTCAAAAGAGGGCCACATGGGCCCGGAACCTGGGCACGGGGGTTCGGGCAAAGGGGACTGCACCCTGGGCCGGGCCGGGTAGCCCTCCCCTTGCCCCTCGGCACACCCCTGCGACGGCCGGCCGAAAATCTCCCCTAGGCATCGCAGTCGGACCAATCGGCACGCAGAGCAGGGAGTCCCCTCAGTAATGCCTGACAGCCAATCAGAGAGCTCCTACACCCTCCTCTTTCAGCAAAGGCCAATCAGAACGAAGCAAGGCGGACTAGCACCGACTTTGCCCACACAACCCTCCCACCCAATGGCTGCGCTGCCCAAGCGCCCGGCGGGAGCGCAAGGCTCCGGTCGCTGCTCTAGCGACTGCCCGAGCCCACGGGGCCTTGTCTCTTCTCTCCCCCGCTTTATCGCTACAGCTGCGGGCCCGGAGCCGCTCTCTCTCCCTCTGCCCTCATCTCGCGGCTGCAAAGCCCGGGTTGAACCCTAGGGAGTAGCACGCGGCAGGTTTTTCTTTTCTCTGGCTTTAAAACCCGGCTGCTCCGCGCAGGTCGAAGGCCAGGGAGGCCGGGATGGAGCCGGCTTTGTTCCTGACCCTTGTCTTTGGGCTCCAAGCCCTGCGCCAGCCCCGCGCAGAGGCAGCTTAGGTTCCCGCCCGGGTCTCCCCAGTGCGGCTCCAGGAGGGCGGCTCTGAGCACGGCTTTTTCAATGCCTTCAAGTGCTGGATCAAGGCCCCGACGGGACCACCGCAGGGCAGCACCGAGCAGCAGGTTGGTCTCACCTCCTCGACACCGATGGCAGGGCAGGAGCTGAATGCAGCACAGAGGCAACGTGTACAGGGTGCACATGGGTGCTCATGCATCCCTTGAGCGTGGCAGTGCACCATGACCGCCCCTGGACGCCACGGCTCCTGCAGGTAAGTGGTGGGGAGCTGGTGGGGAAAGTGAGGCCCCCATCAGGAGGGAGGGAGTTGGGTGGGGCTGGGGCTGCTGCCCAGCTTGGCGGTGCATGGGGCCGGGGGCTGCAGTCTCTGCCTGCAGGACCCTGGTGGGGAGCAGGAAGGATGGGAGAGGCTGGATGGCTCCCCATGGCTGCGCGCACTCCTGGAGGGCAGTGGGGACCCGTGCCCCCAGACCTGTCTCTGGGGCAAGAGCAGCACCAGTGAGGAGTGCAACCCTGCCCCCATGCATGCAGGGTACAGGTTGCCAGAGCGGGGCAGAGGTCCTAGTGGCAAGCAGCTTCCCTGTGTGGCTCTGCTGTTCCCTGCCATGCCAGGGTGCACCCACCAGGTTGCAGGGGCCCTGGGGGAGGGTAGCAGGGCAGGAGCCCACATCCACCCAAGCACAGATCTGACAGGCAGGAGTCCTCTCTGCACCCCAGGAGTGCGCACGAGAGCGGGGAGCTGGCCTCACCCCCTGCCCAATCCCACAGCAGACAGAGAGCAGGCGGGAACCAGGCTCGATGCTCTGCTCCGCTGCAGCAGCCGTAGCCTCCTCCCAGGGGTGGGGGGCATAGGCCTGGCAGCTGGGGCCTCCCTCCCTGCCCTGGCTGGCAGGACTAAGGGCACCAGCAGGGCTGGCAAGCATGGGGGTCGGGGGGACTGAGGGGCACAAGCAGCATTTCATTGTAGTAACAGGCAAAGGCAGGTTATAATTTTGAGGGTTTTCATCAGAGAATTGGCAATTTTTTTAACAGAGAAAACCAGGAACTCCAGTAATAAATAAAATAATTGCTACT